TGGGCGGGGGTTTGGGCGGGGGCGGACCTCCCAGCGCCTACAACGATCTCAACGGGGGCGTGTACTGCGGGGAGATCCCGACACGCCCCGTACTTCCGCTTCCGTCTCGAGAGCGGAAGCGGAACAGCGGCCATGTTGTTTTGGCCGGTGGCGCTAGCTGTGACAGACACTACAACAGCATGGAAAACAACAAAAACGATGATCATTTTCTGGAGGAGGTGGGGTTTAACTGTGAGGAGGTTTTGGAGGAGGTGGATGAAGATGAAGAAAGTATAGAGCATAGCGAGAAAGAAGAGCTGAAAGCTCACTTTCTTAACGATAATACAGCGGGTTCTGTAGAAAGGCTTCATGGGGCTGGGGGTCATTGTGATGTGATTCACTTTTCCAAACGAACTCCCAGTATAAACGAGTTTGACGAAGACAGCAGTTCTTGTGACGAGTCATCTCCTGTGAAGATCACGACGACTGACATCACATGAGGAGGATTTCCCTAACACTTTATGTGTACCACCAGACTTACTTATGACTTTCGACACTGTTGCAGAAGAGGGCGAAGTATTGATATTCATCGTTGATTGTTACCTACTTCAAGTTCAAGTCAAAGATGTTAACGCCGCTGCATATTCTCGTCGAACTCCTGCGTCATAAAGATGATGTTTTTTTCTGTTAGATTTTGGCTGGCGTTGTCTTAAAACTTCGACTCCTTCACAAATGAATGTGACTTTCTGGTGTACGAGACTATGTTGTCTCGAGGGAAGAAACTGTGACTTTCCAGCCAACAGATGGATGAGTGAACTGTTCGTGTTTTGATAGGACACGAGTACGAGTCTCTGTTTAGAGATTGTGCTTGGAAGGTGTTCGAATTCTTTGGAGAGAAGCGTGCTCTTATGTGAATCTGTTTTGGATTTTATCACGGTTTCGACTTCCTTAAGTTTTCTTTTAAACTTGTCCAGGTTTACTGTCAGGCTTCAGAACACACCAGACGTTATGCGAGAAAAATGTGTGTGTGTGTGTGTGTGTGTG